GGGAAAGAGAGGAGAAGATAAAACAAAGGGTCAAACTCTAAGGAGAAGTCTGGGCTGGAGCATATATTTATGATTCATCAGCTCATAATTAGTTGTTGAAGGCACTGACATAAGTGAGATCACCAAGGGAGAGAATACTGAGTAAGAAAAGGAGTGGTCTCAGGACAAAGCCTTGGAAGAAATTCAACCTTTAATCACAGATAGAGGACAGCAAGAAAGAGGACAGTGAGCCTGCAAAAAGGTGACAGAGGAGGGCCGGGGAGGATGGTGCCCAGGAAGCTAAGGGAAGTGGCATCACCAGAGTCTGAAGTTGCTGTTCAGTCAAGTGAGACAACTGAAAACATTCACTAGTGACATGATTCATTTAGATAAAGGTCATTGGTAGAGTTAGCAAGAACCATCTGAGAGAAGTGGGGGAAGGCAAAGAACGGGTTAAAAAAATGAAGGTGAGAAAACAGGCAGCAAGTATGTGTCCACTATCTCTGACGCGTAATTCCAAAATCCAAAAGCTCTGAAAAATTAAGGTTTTTTGTTTTAACTCATTCGGAAGCAAAACCTGACCTGGACTAAAGTGAAGCTTTTTGTAGCCCTTATTTATCCCATTTAAAGTGGAAAGCCATACATTTCAGTGCAGAAATAACAATGTGATAATTAAAGGGTGCTGCCCCAAATTCCACTGGGGTTATCATACCACAGATGTTAATGCTTTTCTCAATCCAAAATATCTGATTTCTGAGTCAAATCTGGTTCCAAGGGCTTTAGATAAGCAATTGTAGATATGGACTAATGACTCTCTCAAAAAAATCTGGTTGGAAAGGGAGGAATGTGGTAGAATGGTAGCAAAAGGGAAACATGGCATCATCTGATGGAGAACATAAAACTGAAAGGGCTGGCTGAAAATATCAGGAAGAAAAAAGCTCATGTCAGATATTTTAGAATTTCTGAGAATGCAGAGAGGGATGGGACATAAAGCACAGGTAGAAACTGAACTAAAATAGGAGAAAGGCACTTTTACTGTAATAGAAGCCAGATCTCAACATTCTCATACAATGTTGAGAAGCTAGAAGATGGAAACCCCTGACCGTTAGCTTCTATTCTCTCCATAACATAGCAACAAGTTACCTGGTGAGACTGAGGGTGAATAAGAAAAGTAAAAAGACTGGTGAAGCAAATACAGTTTTCAATAATCTTTGCACAAAGAATGAGTTGAATACACACAAAAATAGGGGAATCGTTGGATAGTAATGAGGGCCCATTTAAGATCTGCAATAACGAATCTGCAGTGGAATCCATCTGCCTAACCATGCGGTTTTTTTCCAGCAAGGTTCAGCCATTCAGGAACAGGCACAGAGAAGACACTGACTGCTTCATTCAGAGTGAAGTTTCTACCCAACAGGTACAAAAAAAGGGCAGAGTAACAAGGTGGTTGAAGGTACTGGCAACAAAAGGGGGGAAAGTTATTGAAATGATAAATAATGAGCTCTAAGCTGAATTAAACAAATAAAATGACAAAGGAAGAGTACTGATGTACTGAAAGAAAGTTGAGGGGTCCAAAGGTCAAGAAAAGGTAACGATGTAAGAAGTACAACTAGGTGGCTGTTGTCAGAATGGGACAAGCGGTTTCATGATTTCGGAAGAGGCGGAGTTACAGTGAATTGCTGATGAGACGGGAAGGTCACTGGAAATGAGGGGGTCAAGGAACTGCAAGTCCAGGCCGCTGGACTTGTTTCTCCACATTGATGCACAAGCTATGATCATGAAGAGCTTAGGGTGTAGAAGAACACTGTCAACCAGCTGCCAAAGTCTTAATGAATAAGGAAAAGTAACCATGACATTGTTCAGGAGATGACAGCAGTGAAGAGTAATAAAAGGCTGGTTCGGGCAAAAGACAGAAACTTCAAAGGAGCAGGGATGGAAGGGGAAAAAAGGAAGGGGGGGGAGGTGAAGGAATAATTGTTGGAAAAGGCAGAAAAGGAAATAAAGTTGACCTTCAAACCCTGGGGTTTGAGAGGATATACATGAAGTAAGGCAAGGAAGTAGGAAAAAACACTAGGAAAACAGATTGAGAATTGTGGAGGGGTTTGATTTCCATGATAAAAGCAGTTCCAAAGTTCTAGCAAAGGTAAAAAAAGAGTGAGAGGTGTGTGAGTGATAAGGAAGGAGGAAACTGAGAGCGTGATGGTGATGGTGATGGTGATGGAGAGGAGGGGGCAGGGCAGTGGTGTGTGTAGGTGGGGAGAACACCCTGACTGAGAGAGGCATGGCAGACTTTGGCCTCTGTCAAAACAGGGAAAAAGAACCATAAAGCATAAAAAGTCTCAGTCCAGGCTATACAGGGCTAATCCCCACTTCCTATTAAGATTAATTTTAATACCTTCTATTTTGTGTGTAAAAAATCCCTTGACTCACTTATACATTTAGTACATTGAAATACTGTTAATGTTGACTTTTTTTAAAAAGTAGGTGGGTCTTTAAGCAGAGAAAAGTCACAATATGAACCTGTAATATTTCTGGGGATGCAGTAAATATATTATTTTTCATTTCTGGCAATCCTATCTAGAGGATATCAAACCTCAAACCTAAGATGTAGTATTTCAAAAATTTGGTTATGTAAATGAAAGTATTTTTTAGAGGAAAAAGTACTACAGATCTGAATATCACCCGTTAAAGCAATGGTCCATAAACTTTTTTATTTAGGTCAGATACCCCTTTGAAATAGCTAATGAAAACAATGGGACACTCTTGGCAGAGAAATACAGCACACACAAAATTTTGCATGCTATTTCAAGGGGTTCAATAATTCCAATCCTAGAACCCTCCACTTGAGAGAGAACCTTGATTCAGGCTATTTTGGAAATATGTTAATTCAATTTGATGTTCTCCATAGTCAATGAAAACATACATTTAGTAAATTTTCCATTAAGCTGTTATTAACAGCAATGTGACATACTTTGACTTATCCAACCACATTACACAGTCCCCTTCATAACTAGCATCATGCTGATGACAGGCAAAATCTACTGACAGAGGTCAGAAATGAACTAATAACTAAAATAATCAGTCATGGATCAGTAAGAGATACATATATCCATCACATAAAAGTGTAAAATGTTTACTGTATTCCCTCATCTTCCCCAACCAAATAACAAATTCATTTTCTGTATAACAACCTCAAGAAATTGAGCACTGAAAGTCCCAAAATAATGGCAGCATGGAATGAGCACTGGATGGAAATAAGGAGCTTGGATTCTGATTCCTGCTCTGCCACTAATTAACTGTTACCTACCTTACAGCTTAAACAGTTCATTTAATTTCACTAGCTTCAGTTTTCTCATCTACATAATGAAGTAAATTAAATGGTTTCTAGTTCTGTGGATGTATGTGTCTGTGACTCCCAAACCATTAAGATGTCCTTTAAATCAAATAGCCTACTAGGAGGTTAAAATGTGCCATTCCAAAGAAAAGTACCAATGTCCTCCCCCAAGTCATGTAAAATCCACCCACTAAATCATGGTCACCAGAAAGAAACATGTTCTGAAGATTCATATATTAGTGATTAATATATTAGTGATTAGTGTTCAGTCTCTAGTAGGATGAAGAATGGATCATCTTTTAGATTCTTCATTTGGATGAAAATAACAGCTACCCAGTTAATCAAGTCCAACCTGCTTGTTTTGTAGACAAAAAAAAAAACAACAACAACAGGGCTTCCCTGGTGGCGCAGTGGTTGAGAGTCCGCCTGCTGATGCAGGGGA